ATTAGTCTGTCTCCTCACTGTCCTCAAAAGACCACCTAGAGGGCCCCACTTCCTTGGGGATGCTCAGGTTGTTCCTTCTATCTTGAATGCCCACTCTTCTCTTTCTCTGAATTCCACCAATTTGTCAAGACTCAGTTAAGCTCTCCTCCTCCTGAGGTCTTCTCTTTGCCCCAGTTATTTTCCTTTTATTCTCCTTCCAACCAATACACAAACTGTTGAAGGGCAGAGGCTGCTCCGCACAGCACAGATTCTCTGCTCACATTGCATGCATGTGCAGCAGACACTCGTGCTCCTTAAAAACAAAACAACACTCATGAAAATCACTGCTTTCCCTCCCCTGGAGAAGATGCTATTTATTAGAACTACATGTCAATCCAAAATACCAACATTGTCCATGACTTGGACATTCTCTTTATTAACAAATCAACAACCACAGGCTTTATTAACACCACCTGGGATGTGCCTGCTACACGTTCCCTTTCAGGAACAGGGGAAGCTTGCTTTTTATTGTCATTTTCATGCAATCGTGTTAACTATTAAACTCTCCAGTGCTAACCCCCAAGAATCCCATCTCCATATCAGAACACAGGTCCCCTCGGATTCAGGTGAGATAACAGGGGTTTTACCTTTGTGGTGTTACAGTGTATGTTTGCCATCACAAAATCTAGGTGTGAAAATAGCCGAACCCAACACTACTGCTCGAGGTAGTAGTTACCCTTGAGGGTGTAGTTTCTGGAAGGGGGAACAAATGGAATTCTGGGATGATGGTCATGTTCTGTTTCTTGGTCTGGGTGCTGGATAGGTGGGCGGGTTCACTTTGTGAGAACTCACTAAGCTGTACACAGGATCTGTGCACTTTCTGTATGTATGCTATATTTCAATACAAAGTCCTAAAAAGCTCTTAGCAAATAGTAATGTACAATGGATCTTTGCAAAAATACACATCTCATTTTCTTCATGCAATGTCCTTATAAAAGGACAGGTAAGGCCATTTTACTGGTGGTAAGATGGAACAAAAAAGGCAAAGCAACTGTCAAGGTGTTGTCTGAGGGTACTTCAAAAAGTCTGTGGAAAAACAGAATTAAAAGATAATATAAATCTTTTCGTGAACTTTTTCTTTTTTTCTTTTTAAAAGATGACCGGTAAGGGAATCTTAACACTTGACTTGGTGTTGTCAGCACCACGCTCTCCAAGTGAGCTAACCGGCCGTCCCTATATAGGGATCCGAACCCGTGGCTTTGCTGTTATCAGCACCACATTCTCCCAAGTGAGCCACAGGCCAGCCCTGTCGAGAACTTTTTGAAGTACCTTTGTATAACAAATTTAGGTGAGACTGGTATTCAAGGAAAAATCTGACCTCAAGAGTGCTCTCCCTCAATATCCACTGCTATAGCCAAACTGTCCCTTATTAGAAGCAGATACTCTGATTCAGAAAACTAAATGCATTTCATGATGTAAGAATTATATCACAGTTGTCTGAAACAAGCATAAGGAATTGGCTAACAAGTACAAACAGTATTGTATAACAGCCTTCAGGTGATAAAGCACTTGAGCCATCTTCAGATCTCATAAAACAGAGGAACTGGCTCTACCACAAACAAACAAACAAAAAAGCTACCACTTATTTAGACTGGATCAGACACCATGCTAAACACTATACTATCATTAGATCTTCACAACAACCCTAATTTTATCCCTGTTTTACAGATGAGGAAACGGAGGCATGGAAAGCTTAAGGAACCTGCCCAAGGTACAGGGTTATTAATTGGCAAGGTGGAGATTCAACCCAGGCAACCAGACTCCATGTTCTTACCACTGACGCTAGTCATGCCTTTAGTTGTGATGCATACAGGGGTGAGTTCCCTGTTTCTAGCGTGTGACTTATCTTTTCTGGAGTGCATTATAGCTCAATAAAATGTGCTTGTCCAAACGTACACAAGTATAAGCATCTTGACAAACACACCCGACTGTTTCATAAGTGACAGCCTGATTTACAAAGTGCATCTCTGCCTTCAAAAGACCCATGCTCACACATGTGACAGTGTCATGTCCACCACTTCTCTACTGGAGACTTCCCCACTTTTTTTTTTTTCGTTAGGTGGCTAGCCAGTATGCAGATCTGAACTTGTGACCGTGGGTTATAAGGCTGTGCTCTAACCAACTGGGCTAACTGACCAGCCCAACTTTCCCCCATTTATTTGTTTGAAATCCAAAGACAAAACAGTCGGCCTACCTCAAGCTGTCATCAGCCCAGATTACATTAGAAAGGTCAGCAGCATTCTTTTTTCTTCCATTACAATAGATGTATTGCTTTTTAACAAAGTAATTCCTCATCCTGCATTCCTTGAGTGAGCAAAAACTATACCCCACTGCATTAGCCAAGCTCAAGAAAACTAAATAAACAAAACTCTTGCTGGATCTCTGGTATATTGTGCTTCTAGAGGAACATTTTAGTAACAGCATTCTGGATCTACTTTTCTTTTTAAGCTACATTTATATTTATGAAAAGTAAAATTGCTTGTCTGTTACTTTGGAAGAGTTTAAGTGGGGAAAAAAACAGTTATAATGGTTGATTTAATTAATTCTCTTCATTTTGGTTCCTTGAAGTAGTAAAATTAAGCTAGTGGGTTTTCCCCCACCCGAGTCATTTTCCACCCCAGTTTCTAAGACTATCAGGTGAGCTAGGAATTCAGACTAGGAAAAAAATCCATTCTGGTCTGGCCATTTAGGTTTTCAGTGAATATGAATTAACGACACCTTCTAGCAGGGGACCCTTTTTCAGATAAGCTGACTTCATCACACATACATGCCCTTGACAGGTAATCATTTCTACCTAGAATTGGGACAATGATCTCTACTGCGGCAAGCCCCACAGCAAGCCGTCCGTGGTGTCACCCAGTTCCACGGATCAACATCCCAAACGCAATTCCTGGGCACTTCAGGTTCAGTCAAAGCTCTGCCATGGGCCTCTCCGCATCTGCCATCCTTGAGCAAGATTATTCAAGGGACTTCCCAGGACCAGAGCCACAACACTGGGCAGACGGAGTTGCTCATCACTCGGCCTTCCCCTGCCTGCCAGCCTCCCGGCGATGCGAGCCGGCACGCGGTGGGTTCCGCAGGGTGCTGCAGGAGGGATCCCCCGCCGAGTGGGGGTCCCGGCGGGTCGCGGCCCCTCTCCGGGAAGGCAGGGCCCTGGGCCGGGCTTGGGGAAGCTCGGAGGATGCTGACCTCATGACCTCAACTTTGTTGTTTAAAAACAGCTCCGAGGCGGCGGCGCTCACGTGAGCGGCCTGGCTTCCCCTCCGCGGGCCGGGGGCTCCCGGCGGCCCCTCGCTCCCCGGGTGGCGAAGGGGGAAGGCGGTGGCCCCCAGTCCCGGTGGCAGGAGGGGCCCCCG